AACAGAGATTGAAGCCTCTGATTTGGTATAGTTCTTCTGCTTTTTCCCCCCACCATTTTTCTTTTTGCAAATGATAATTTCCCTGTTAGAAGGTTATTGTCTTAAATTAAGACTTGATATTTGTTTTTTATGATGTTATCATGTTTCTCTTTACTTTTGTGGTACTTCCCCTAGATATATGGACCACCCAGTTGTTTTAAGCCAGCTGTCGAAATACCATTCAGTAAGAGGATTTGCAGGAAGCAGCTCTGCAAATGGTTTAGCAGAGAACCTGAGTATAGCAGAGCCATGTCTTACTGCTAATACCACCTTAGCAATTGCCATCAGCTACAGTTTTACAAGTCTAACTCCTAAATGTGGATTATTTCTGTTCTTATACATATGGTGTATGATTTGTAAAGAAAAGTTTTATGTGAGCTCAGTAGTAAAAATTACAGTCCTTTTTCATTTGAGTTAGACTGACATTTAAATCATTTCTGAAAACACTCATTCTTGGTCTTTTGGCAAAGACTGGCTCTATCTGAACTCATGTGTTTTGTCTGTCAGATGCTGGTTAAAGAAGACTTCACTCCCTTGCTGGTTTAATATTGTGACCAAAATGAGGAAAAGGTCATTTGCCCTGATTAAGGCATGGGCTTGTTTAGGACAGATGTAAGTGCTTCACCCATTGACATCTTATATCTGTAAAAAATCTGCTGCTTCAGAGTAGTTCAGGGATGTCATACACAGTTGTGCCCTCTGTTCAGGCAGCAAGCATGATAAAAAACCTCTATCAATGTGGGGTTTTCATTTGAGTAACATTTCAGGTCAAGAAATTTGAAGTCCTGACAAGATTTTGAGGTGATAGCCTTGTAGCTGTTCTTCAGTTGAACCTGAACCTCATGAAATGAGTTCACTCTTACTCTAAAAATCTGTTTACTCCAACTGGGCTTTACATTCTTCACAACTAACACAATTTTCCACCTTTTCTTGTTGAGTACTGAGTAATTATGAGACCTGTATATTCCCAGCAGGAAAAAGCAGTGTCAATCTGCTGATCTTCCCTCTGCTGCAGAGGTGGGTCTTGAACCACTGGGAATGGTAGCTGCTCTTCTGCTCACTGAAATGTCTATATACAATAAAAAGACACCATCCCACTCCTCAGGAAGAACAGAAATGTTTCACAGCAATGAAAGTAATCTATCCCAAATCAGTTCAGGCTGGGCTATCAGGATGTGGCTCAAAGTGGCAGTAACAAACTTATCTGTTGTGAAGCGAAAATGAATGATGTTGTAATAGGATTTTCAGCTGAATGAGAATCCAACCCTCAGTGTGGCCCTTGGTCCAAATGAAGTCTTAACATGTTTGTTTTTGTTTACTGAAGTCATTGCACAACCAGGAAATGGGAGAAAAAGTTGTTTGCTTTCATATCAAGGAAACGTTATTCATAGAAGATGCAAGTAAAATGCACCACTCCTTAAGGCATGTTGAAACCTGCAGGTTTTGCCTCTATTATTTTTGGAAATTATGTAGCTTGTTAGGAATTATTCTGTACCAAAATGAATATCTACTGTCTTCTTTGTTTCAGGAGCCTGCCTTGCTATATAGGAGTCCTCAGTATTTATTATTCAAGTGTTTGGGTTTGGGGTTTTTCTTTGTTTGTTTTGAGTTGGCTGTTTTGTTTGTTTGGAGTTTGTTAACTTAAAAAAAAAAAATCACACAAAAAACCTCCCAAACCAAAGTAGGGCCTATTAACTTTAAAGTCAGAATTGCTTCTTAAGCTGGAGGGTTTGTCCAACACTAATAGTTTAGCTTAAATATGACTGCAATAGGTTCATCCCATTCTGGAGTTGTTCTCTCTATAGCACAGGACTCTGTTTACTAAATCAGAAGTTAAATAACTGTATCCCCCATTCCCTTCCAATTGCTTTGAAACTGTTGAGAAAAAAAAAAATCTCACTACAGGTTTATGTAAGAGATAGTACCAGAATAAGGATGGAGAGAGGAGACACACAGCAAGCTGTTCTTTATGAAATAAAACATTTGCATGTGTAATGACTTGTTGAGAACTGCCATGGGAATTGTTTTTGTTGGTGGTATTCATATGTTCTTAGGAGCATAGCCTGAAAAGAGTTCTTTTTAATTTTCTCTGATTTTTTTTTAGTCAGATTTTACCTAAATAAAACTTCTTTAGCACTTGCATGTTCATGTTGCATTTGGCACCGTACTACAAAGTTTGTCCATAAAACCTCAGTGCCCCAGATTTAGCCAAGTTATTATTATTTAGGTATTTAGGTATTTAGGTATTTATTATTACTATGAATATTGTCAAATTTAAGTTAGCCAACTGTATGCTTCACAGTCTTCCTAATGCATAAGTGAATTTGATTGTATTTTGTGTTTTGGTATTTTGCTGGTATGTTGTGCTGGCTAAATTAGAGGTGTTGGAATTTGTCAGGCTCCTCTTGTGTCCCTCCCCCAGTCATTTTCCCAGAGCCTGAGAAACTACTTCTTCCAAAGAATGTTTACACAACTTTGCATTGGTCACCAAGTACATGAAGTTTTGATTTTGAATTACTGGAGAGCAGACAGCAGCAGTGCTGCTTGTGCTCTTGGACATATTATCTCTTCAGTTTGTTTATGGCAGTAGAATTTACAGGATGAACCCACAGAATGCTTTTATATTTGCAGAGAAAGGTTCGAGCCTTAAGCCTGTCTGCCATTTGCAAAGAGCAGTAGCCAGTGTAGAAGGAAGGACTCCTTCTAGGGAGTGAGGTGGTTACTGTACTTGATAGATAACTTTGTTCCAGGACTTCTCCTGTTTTGATTAATTCTCCTCTCTTTGCCAGATGTTGTCTGTAGGTCTCTTTCTCTGCTGAGTTTTCAAGAAGTCTATGATTAGAGAAACATGGTGTTGTAGTTCACAGACTCTCTGTCTGAAATACCCATTTCATTCCTGCACATTGTTCCAAGTTTCCCTAGTTAAAGGCTGAACTCTCAGCATTAGTTTTAACACTTAAAGGAAGCAGTTCAAAATATAACCTCCTAAATACAATAGTTGATGTGGCTCCATGATTTATGATGTTTCTTTTACATTCCAGGGGAAAATCCCTTTTACACAGGGGTGCATAATTTAAAAATTAATACCTCCTTCAAAATATATTAGAAACTATCCTAGGAATACTGGCTTTTTCAGTTTGGTGCATGTTTGATGATGGTTCTAACTTTCCACACACAGAGAAATAGTAATTAGAAGTGTTTTGTCTTGAATTTTTGTTTTACATTACTCCCACTGAAAAACTACTTTGTGCACATCAGGCTGATGTTGGTAGAACTCACATGGTAGTAGAATGTCTGCCTATATCTTAAAACTTGACAACATTGGGATGTTATGCATCAGGAGGATATGAACTTCTGTGTTTTCAGAAGCTTTTCCTTCATTTTTGCTTCAAGGCAAAATGAAGTCAGCAGCATCTCTGTAGCACTGCTTCTGTGATTCTTGATGTCCCCAACCTGAGGATGTCAAACATAAAATTTATGCTGAAAAAGGCTTGAATTCAGTATAATTTCTTTGGTTTGTTCTATAATTACACCTTAGGTAATTGATGCTTGTACGTGCATCATGCTGTGGCGTGGTTGGTAACATCTGCAGTTTCACACTGTTTAAGCAAGCAGGTGCTTGGGTGAACAGCAAAACCACAAGTGGAAAAAATATGTCTCTGGCACAATCTCCCAAATATCCAGTAGCTTTGATTACTCCAGGTGTTACTCACAGTAGAGTGTTTTCCCTCAACCACACACGAAGGAAAGATGAGCTTTATAAAGGAAAAAATACATCTCTGACCCAATCTCCCAAATAGTCTGTAGCTTTGATTTCTCCAGGTGGTATTCACAGTAAAGTGTTTTCCCCCAACCACACACAAAGATGAGCTTTATAAAGGACGGTGCAGAAGTACAACTTGATGTAGTTTAATTAAAGAAACGCAGAATCATGTTTTAAAGGAACTACATTTTGTCCACTGAAAGGGGAAGATCTAACTAAATCTGACTAAATCTGAGTACTCTGACTAAAATGTCTAGGACAAAATCAGTTATTTTTAAGTTGTTATATTTAAGTGAAAAAAAAAAAAAAAAGAAGAAAATAATTATCCTCCCCACCTCTTCTGTTTTCTTTATTAATTCCCCAAGCCCATGCATTCTTTGGGGATATATTGCATCACTAGGGACATGAGTTTAGAAGTCATGTGGGACTAGATATATATAAGGTATATGATATGAACTGATGGGACAGCAACCCATTTAAAATCACAGAATCATGGGATTGTTCAGGTTGGAAAAGACCTCTAAGATTATTGAGTCCAACCATTAACCCAGCAGCCCATGTTCACCACTAAACAGTGTTCCCCCACCAGTGGCACATCTACTTGTCTCTTAAGTATGTTCAAGAGCCTTCCAGGGATGCCAGCTTCCTGGGCAGTTTTTTCCTGTGCTTGACAACCCTTTCAGTGAAGAAATTTTTCCTCATGTTCAATCTAAACTTCCCCTGGTGGCTTGAGGCCATTTCCTTTCATCCTATCCCAAGTTATCTGGGAGAGGAGACTGATCCCCAGCTGGTTAAACCCTCCTGTCAGGCAGCTGTAGAGAGTCATAAGGTCCCTCCTGAGCCTCCTTTTCTCCCAACTAAACCTCCCCAGCTCCTTCAGCTGCTTCTCATAGAACTTGTTCTCTAAATCCTTGCCAGCCTCATTACCCTTCTCTGGACATGTTCCAACACATTAACATCTTTCTTGTAATGAGGGTACCAAAATGAACACATTATTTGAGCTGCAGTATGGAAGTATGACTAGAAAGTCTTTCTGATGTGCCATCTCACTCCAGAGCTATTATCTTCCTGGGAAGAAAAGGAAGGATACCAAAAAATCTAGGGACAGGGAGGAAAGAACCTGCCAGTATGCAGTTATGGAATGAAAGAGAAAAGATATCTTAATAATAATAAAATACATGTAAATGCTCTCTTCCAGTTTTCACCTGGCAGCCACAAAAGGGCATGCAGAGTGTCTCAGGATCATGGTGACACATGGTGCAGATGTGACAGCCCAAGATGGTGCAGGTATGTCTCTCTATACAAGTAGCATGATACACTCATTGTAACACTCAGATACACTCAGTTGTAACACTTGCAGATTTGGACATATTTGCTTTCCTGCACAGAGAATTCTGAATCTAAACTCCTTAAAAATTTTTGTCCTAATAGTATAAATTTCAGCATTTGTAGTGGGATCCAGACGTAAAATATTTGCTAGATTTTTAAAATTTTTATTTTTAAGTAGGAAAAAAAAAAAAAGGAAGAAAATAATTATCATCCCCTACCTCTTCTACCTTTTCCTATTATTACAGGTTGCATCAAGATCTTCAGTTTTGCTTTCATGTTTATTCAAGCTATTAATCCCATTAACTCTACAGCAGTTGCAGTAAGATATTTCTTCAGGATTATGACACAGTGAAAACAGCTGATACAGGCCAAAACAGAGCTGAGAGCTATTAAGTAGGCTGTCTCAGTTCTCAAAAGTCCTGTGCTTAATTACTTTTCCACTAGGAGAATGGTGGGAGCTGAATTTGAAACTGGCAAACTCTTCTTAATAGATTTCAGTTGACACATCTTTAGAATCTGTGCCCAGCATTTTCTCTGGCTAGCTGAGCCACCTAAATGATCTGTCAGCATTCTGTCTTTCCAGTAATGATCTGTAATTGCTGGGCTCATGGGTTCTGTTTTGCTGCTTATTGCAGCCTGAGGGGATCTCTGTCATATGTGGGAATCATTTGCCTCTATATATAAAGTGTCTGTGATACTGGAAGAAGCATTCATATTTTACATAAGAATAAGGGAATATATGTACCTGATGCAGACTATAATTCTGAATTCATGTTTCACCTTGCCTGATGATTTATTGGTCCCTTCGGTAGTAAAAGGTTGTCTGCCTACTTCCACCTGAGAGCGTCAGCCCAGTACTCTTTAGTGAAATCCTTCTATGTGAAAGTCACACCATTTGCAATGAGAGCTTCCTGTCACAAGTGTCTTTGTCTTTATTGAGTACTAAATCCTGGGTCCTTCTCTTTTTAGTTGCATGGATAATTTCTTCTTTTGCTATCTTGTCATCTTCAATTTTTCACATGTTCTGCAAGATGAAGCTGGAGGAGAGACTTCAGTGTTTTATCATAAATCCATAATTATCATGAATTCAGTGACGTGTAGACCAATGTAGACCTGTGTTTGACAGGAAATAGGAAATTTGTGAATTTCCTATTCCTGCAAAACAAAGCAGGCCTGTGTTTGAGTCTTCTATGTGTACTTCATGGGTGACACAAACTTAATACATTTGTAGGTGGTGAATTTGGCAGGTTTTGCTCTTGATGCTGGGTATGTTTTCATTGCCAAATAGCAAAACTCATGACACTGACAGACATCTGTGTGCAAGGGAGGCTGTGTAATACTGGAAAATTGTTTTCTAAGAAACAAGACAAAATGTACCGTCTTAGACTTGCTTCTGCCCAAGTGTAGTCTGACACAGTGTTTGTGTCACTCCTTTATATGAATTAAGACTGTAAGATTATTCCGTTACTTGCCTGAACAAAAGGTAGTAAAGGCATTCTGCTTGACATAGGTTTTTACTTTATTTTGTCTACCCTTACTTTCTATGTGTCATGATAGGAACGAGACAGATAATTCAAGATTTTGCCTTTGTCATGGCGGGTTTTATTGCTGTGCTTTGGCATGACTGAATAACTAATTTGCTTTGCTTTTATTCTTTTAGGGCACAGTGCTTTACATCTTGCAGCAAAGAACAGCCACCCTGATTGTGTTAAGAGGTTACTTCAGGTAAAAGAAAAACTAAATTAATTTTGAATTTTGAAATTTTTATTTGGTTCCATTAGACTAATTTTATGCTAATAATCTGCACCATACTTCTTTATTGTTCTATCTCCTTGGCATCAAGAGAGGCGCATCAAGAGTTTAAACATAAAGAGTTTAAGGATCTTTCAGGCACTGCGAATGCGTGATAGAAAACAGTATCGCTTCCCTGAGTGGTCTGCAAATACAGTTTTCCATGTCCAGCTGCTCTGACATAGCTTGATTTGGTTTCAAGTAGTTTGTAGCTTCGGTTTAACTTCCTGTGTTTTGTCTGTGTGGTTGGAGGACTTGGAATTAGGTGGATCAAGAGTTACAAGGGAAACTGTTTTTCACTTCTGGGGGGATTCTGGTAATATTCCACTGGAATGCTTTCTGTCTGTTTACCATAGAAACGTTTTCAAGTTTAAAGTAAAAGAGAGGAAAACATAGTAGTTTAGATCCAAAAATAATATGGAAATAATCAAATCTTCAATGAAATTAGGTAGAGTACAGTGATGGGTTAGAAAGGGAGTTGAAAGAATGGGGAGAGAAAATAAGAAAAACAAAAGTGAAGATGAACAGAAGAGTCTCATTGTGTTGAAGATGAGTGTTAGTAAGCAAAGATGTTGTCCATATCAACCCCATTTCAGAATTACTGGTAAGTTTTCATGGTGGTGATCAGAGAAACAGAACAGATTTCTCTAAGTTTGGAGTTCTCAGAAGGTCTCAGATAAAATAATGAATACAGACTGTGAATACAGATGAAATACTGATTAGCAACCCAATGTGGACACGATGGTGCAGAAAGAGAATGGATCCTCTATCCCGACCTCGAGATTGTTTTTCCCTGCTTGCCTCAGGGCTCTCCAGCTGTCCAGTGACTGACCTCTGTCAGAGTCTCTGACAAGGCAGGGTCCAGTTTCACTGATTCCCAGCCCCGTAGCCCCTGGGAGCTGTTTGCCCCGCTGCTCGGCGGGCGGGAAGGGCTGTCCCAGCCGCGATCCAGGTCGCCATCAGGCCGTCACTGCCGGCATGGCAGGCAGCGGCGGCTCAGAGCCAGCCGCGCTTTGCGCCGCGGAGCTGCTGCCCTTCCGCGTGCCTGCTTTTGCTGATGCTTTTCTACTTTTATTTCAATATGCAGGTTTATAAATACATTCCTAAATGCAGACCTGTTGGATATTCTCCACTAATTCATGCTCTTACGTAGATTAAGGATTATTTTACGTAGACCAAAGTGTGTATGCAAGGAATGTCTAACTGTTGTTGAACTAAAACAGGCTGAATAATTATTTTACACAGGCATTAATGACATTTTTGTTACAGAGTGTTACGGTCTATGTGATTCTGTTTTCCCAGATAACCATAGGCATGTTGAAGACAGTGCTTCATGTAAAGGTCAAAAGTTGTAATGTTTGTTTTCTAGAAACCAAACCACCAACTGTCCAATGAAAAGCTTTGAAGCCTGTGAAGGGTTTAGAGAACCAGTCCTGTGAGGGGCAGCTGAGGGAGCTGGTGGGGTTTAGCCTGGAGAAAAGGAAGCTTACGGTAGACCATATCACAACGAGAAAAGAGGAAATAGCCTCAAGGTGCACCCAGGGAGCTTTAAGTTGGATATTTGGAAAGTTTCTTCACTTGGAAGGATTTAAGAGATGTGTGTAGATGTGAGACATGTCTTAGTAATGAACTTGGCCATGCTGGGTTAAGAGTTGGAAATTATGATCACAATGGTTATTTCTAACCCAAATGAACTTAGGTTTCTATGATACTCTCTTTGTTGTAATTAAAGCAAAAATCTTCCATACCAAAATGAGCCTTGATAAGGATTTGAATTATATTTTCATTACTATTTATTGGTTTGAATTCCAGATTGATCAGTAGCATCTGATAACTGTAATACAACAAGATACAACTGGATTGTTGGTGCTTATTTTTAAAAACGCTAATGAACCCTTATTGCATTTGTCAATGGGCCCTCATGAACTTTAACAAGGCCAAGTGCTGGCACTGCACTTGGGTCAGCCCAGAGGGCCAAAGGTGTCCTGGGCTGCATCCAGAGCCCCGTGGGCAGCAGGGGAGGGAGGGGATTCTGCCCCTCTGCTCTGCTCTGCACCACCTGGAGCCCTGCATCCAGCTCTGGGCTCCCAGCATGGGAGGGACAGGGACCTGATGGAGCCAGCACAGAGCAGGGCTGTGAAGCTGATCAGACTGATGCCTTGAGAGGCTACCCAGAACAGAGGCTGGACAGCGTTAAATGAATTAATTAGGTATTTATTAGAAAGGCCTTCAAAGGATACCCCTTCGGCAGTACAAAAGCCTTACTGAGGCTATAACCAAAATGGATGATGGGTCACAAGTTTTCACTTTTGTAAGTTTTGGTCTATTTTACATATTGGGATTAATTGTCCCATTACAGCTTCAGATTATGAAGTCCCATCCTCCCTCTCTCCAGGAGAGGTTGCTCTCTTCAATTTGCTGTTGATTATACCTTTTGGGCCTGAAGCTGCAACAGTGGTTGCAGGCTTCTCAGGCTGGGAGAGGATTGTTTTGTCTAACTAAACTATGAAGAGTACTTGCTAACACTATGAAGTTCAGATTGAAGTACTGATGCAGTACAGAATCTGGATAATATGAAAGCTAAAACTTAAGGCATCGAGAGGGCTGGAGCACGTCTGCTGTGAGGAAAGCCTGAGACTGTGGTGTTTAACCTGGAGAAGAGAAAGCCTCCCAGGAAACCTTAGAGCTGCTTTTCAATATCTAAAGGAGCCACACAAGAAAAACAGAGAGGGAGTTTTTACATTAGTATGTTGTGATAGGCCAAGTGACAATGGCTCTAACTGAAGGAGGGTAGGTTTAGATTTGGTGTTAGGAAGAAATTCTTTATTGTGAGAGTGGTGAGGCACTGGCATGGGTTGACCAGAGAAGTTGTGGATTCCCCATCCCTGGCAGTGTTCAAGGCCAGGCTGGACGGGGCATTGAGCAACCTGGTCAGTGGAATGTGTCCCTGCCCATTGCAGGGAGTTGGAACAAGATGATCTTCAAGGTCTCTTCTAATCCAAACCATACCATGGTTGTATGAAATAATGCAGGACAAATTGCCTTGGGATGTGGTTGCTTTAGCTTGTACACTAATGTTAAAAAGAAAAAAAAAAATCTGAGACAAGGGAGAGATTTTATTTACTGATTATTTATTTATTTATTTATATTTACTGACGTGAATTATTCTGAAATGATAACATTTTTTTAGGTACAGTTCTCTTAACCATGAGGATTTCCTATGGCTTCAATATAAGTTGATATGAAGACAGGAAACAGCAGATTGATAGAGAGAGAGAAGCTGTACCTTCTTTCAATGTTCTTCTCTGAAGCAGCACATAAATCTGTTTGCAAAGACGTTAAGCACTCTGTCTATATAGATCTTTCTTATTTTCTTTGTCTTTCTCTAATTGCTTTTTTTCGTTTTCCGTATTGAATTATGCAGAGTAAATGTCCAGCCGACAGCACCGACAATTCTGGGAAAACAGCTTTACATTATGCAGGTAACTTTGATGAAAGTTTATACTATTTTGTTGTGCTTGATATTCCTAGCTTATTAGCCTAGAACTTCTTTTTGTCCCCCACTGTAATACTGCAGTATTGCAAGTGGAAGTGTGGGACACAAATTTTGAAATTGTGGTTTAATGGACTCTTACAATTGTCTTGTTTTTTTTTAATTTAATTTTATCTTTTTTAGCTGCATGTGGGTGTCTTCAAGCAGTTCAACTCCTGTGTGAGCACAAATGTCCCATTAACATCAAAGATTTGGTATGTACCTCCTCTCCTGTGTGTACTGCAGATACTTCAGGGCTTTTATCACCCTCATTCCATGCCTTGCCATGCTCCATCTCATGTGCAGTACTTCAAAGCAATGCTGTGCTCACACCTTCAGGGTTTCTCTGCTGGAGGAAGTTCCTTTTGCAGCTTGCCATTGCAGAGGTGTGGAAGCACTTCACAATCTGATCCTGTAGTGGCAGGATTTGGTGATTGTTGAGACATTGGCACAGGTAGCTAGAATCAATTCTTACACATTCAAAACATAATTAAAAGTGTTTCCATTGTCCCCAGGAGGTTTTGGAAAAGGTCCAGTGTGTGGCCAAGGGCTGAAAAATGCTCACAGAGCCCAATCAGAGTATATTATGTCTGACGGGAACAAATACACCTCACATATGCCAAAGGCTCAGAGACACAACTGTGAAAACTCTACAACCAGACAGGTCTGGTTTTGGGAATGATACAACTGCCTGATGGAAAACCTAATGACAAAAGGAAGAGATCTGTAAAGCACAGGTCAAAAGACACTCAAAACTAGATAAAGACATTCAGACTTGTTTGGTTTCAGCTTTGTTCTATATCTGGTCTTTCTAGCAAAAACAAATATGTCACAAACATAGACATCTGATCTAAGATTTCAGCAAATGCATTTTATAGACATAAAAAAATTATTCAGTATTCAGGCTTTAGGAGTATCTTAAAAATGTCCTGAGCTACATCATGGCTGGGTATAGGAAAAAGAGGTGCATGACAAAATTTGCCTCAGAGGTGCATGGCAAAATGATAAGCAATGGTCAGAATTTGGGTAGTGGACTAATTGGGAAATTCCAGTTAGCTACTAGTAAAAAAGCACCTCACCTTTAAGGTGGTCTAACATTGGAATTGGTACCTAGAGCTGTGTCTTTACCTTTGGAGGTGTTTAAAACATGACTGGACAAGTCTCTGAGGTATGTGTTGAAACTTGAAGCTGGACTAGCTTTGGATGAGAAAAAAATTGGGAGAAACCCCAGATACTTCTAAAGGTCTTCCATCTGTGTTATTCTATGACTTTATGAAATGTTGTATTTTTGCCTAGTACTTAGTTAAAATTACCATTTTTGTTGTGGAGCTACGGAAAGATATTTTGTCGTTTCAAAATAATTGTGTTTTAGCATTGAGCAAATAGCAAAGGGAGTACAAAAGCAAGTTCCTACTCCCTGTGTTTTGCATCATCCCCAACAGACAAGGAAGGAATTATAACACACTCAGCTATGTTTATGGTACACAGGAAAAATGTATTAATAGCACCTCATTTTTGCTATGTAAAGGTAAAATTTGTAGCTCGCTTTAAATTTGTAGCTCAGTGTGTTTTTGTAAGTGGATAGACTACTGTTCATAGCTTCTTTATATGCATTTCTAGGATGGAAACATACCTCTGCTGCTTGCAGTACAAAATGGTCATACAGAAGTCTGCAAATACCTTCTGGATCATGGAGCAGACATCAACATGAGGGATAAAAATGGAAGGTACAGCAGGTTAACGTGTTGATTCTTCACCAAAGCTGACTGTCAAATGAAGATTTCTTCTCAAATCCTTCCCAAAATATTGATATTAGGTGAAATAATGCTTTCTGTACTAGGTAGCATATCCTGATTGCTGAGAAGGCTTACAGAATTCTGACTGAAGTAAAAGATGAAGCAGAAACTATAAAACTAATCTGCCTGTAAGATTTCCCTTGGGCTACCAAAGCATTTAAATGATTCCTGTACAAATATGATTGATAGCACTTACTCACACATCACTTTCTAAGCATCCCAGTTTAAAATGCTGCTCTCTGTTTGGAATGAGTTGATACCTCCAAATTAAATCCTTAAAACTGCTACTTGTGAGCAAAATCTGTGGAGAGTTGCTTTTTTCTGCCATGCAGACACAGCAGCAAGAAAAATATGCAATAAATCTCTATAGTGGAGATGCTGATTTTCTAGATGGTGCCAATTACAGTTTTTCCTGCTTTAAGAGATAGTACATGTGTCAGATAACTTCTTAAAAGGCAACATTTTTGTAGTGAAACATGCACTAGTTCTGATGGTACTGACAAACATCAAGAATCTTAGACTATTATAGACTGTTTTATAAACAGCTGGTTAAACTGTGGAGGTAAAGTAGGATACTGACAAGACTTGGCACTTACACTTCATAGCAATTTTGATTATTCTGTGTGACACAATACTGATTCTGTTCTCTGGCGGCACCTGCGAATATAAGACTGGGCCTTATCTCGTTTTTTATCAGTCCAAAGTTCATTAGGGCGCTCTTTGTTTCCAGTTGTCTGAAGAAAACCCCTTTGTTTTCTGTCAGTTTTCATGGCCTCATTGGTGCTTTGAGCCTGAGGTACTGCTCACTCAGGGGCCTCTGCCTTCCCCTCACTCTCCTAGTATTTAGTCAGCAGACAGGATTAAGACTTTCTGCTTTAATTGGATGAAAGAGTTTCTGTCACAGATAGAACAGATTTTTAAAATTTTTTTAAAGGTAGTGCTGTATGTAGAAGCAACAAAACATTGTAACATAGAATGTGCTGGTTTATTTCTTGCTTTAATTTTGGTGAGGGAAGTGACTGCTACTGCATCTCATGTTCACAGAAGTAGTTAAGATTTTACTGAAACAGGAGAAACCTCATTGGGAGAAGAGGGGGATAACCTTGGAAAATAGCATCTGCAGATTCCTATCAGGTCCAGACTAAGTGAACTATTTTGGTAATCTAAAACCATCCCTGTGACTCTTGAGATGTTATCCAAGTTATCACTCACCACTACTTTTAGCACAGCACTGCAACAGCATCACTTTTCCAAGAGACTCACCCATTACAAGGGGTATGTTTAATTCATTAGTGAAACTGTTGTCTTAATACTTTGTAAATATTATCACTGTAGTAACTTTTCAGCATTGTATCTGCACTGAGGAATGTGTTTGGCATTAAACTTGGCCAACCTATTAGACATGTGTTCATACAGAGAAAGGAGAACTATTCCTGAGCAGGAAGGCACTATTAGAGCATGCTTGAAAGGTGAGGTTTTTTTGTAATTATTCTGTATGCCTCTTATGACCCCTTCAAATAATTGAGAAAAGCAGATACAACCTGTTAGGAAAAGATTCCTTCTGTATGCTATGCTTACTTTAGGAGCTGTCTCTGTGCAACTGCCTTGTGTTGGAAAGGGAATTGTTTGTGTTCTCATGGACTCCTTTTTTTCTTTTTTTTTAGGCTGACAGTAGAACAGGGTTTGAGGTCAAACTCATCTCTTGGACTCACTGAAGATCTTTTAGATTTAATTGTCTTTTTGATTGAAATCTGTTTGTCTGTTTTGTCTCAAACACAACATGTGGAGGAGAGCAGGAATGAAATAAAAGTTTTCATGTTGTACCACCACTGTCATAAGAGTGTAACAGTGAGGTTTGTTGGACTTTATCCTGCAGCCATTTCTATCTATGGCTCTCCTCTCAGCCTCAGGAAGCCATATTTAGAAATGTTTGTAGACCTGCATTTGCAGCTGGAGTGCATGAGGAAGAGGAGGAAGAGCTAGCAAATGCTTGTTTGTAAGGAGAAAGAGAAGTCACATTTATGTACCAATAAATATGCTGATGGAATCTTGGACTCTATTGCACAATAACAGTCACAATTTTTTTCCCTGAAGAAATGAGCTGCTAAAGAGAATGCCTTGACACTTGCTGTTTGTGTTTTGGTTTTTTTTCTCCTTTTGTTCAGAACTGCTTTGATGATGGCTTGTGAAGCTAGTAGCCTTAACATGGTGGAAGCTTTCCTCAGGAGAGGTGCAGATGTGAGTTTAGTAGATGTCTTTGGACAGAATGCCCTGCATTATGCCAAGCTCTCTGAGAATACAGGGGTCCAGAATCTTCTGTCGTCAAAGATATCACAGGACATGGGTATGTGAGAGAGGCTGACCTGCAGTTTGTCCCTTCTTGATTTAGCACTGAACAAATTTTCTTAAAACTGTAGCCTGAAATGTTGCAAAAGCCATTTTCAGGATTATCTGGCTGAGACTTCCCAAAAACTCTTTGCCGTAGGTGGTAATATTTAGCATGGGATAAAACCCTGAGCAGGCCAAAAAGAGGGCTTTTGGAGAAAGACAAGTTGATGTAGCAGCATTGTGAAATTTTGCATACAGTTTGGAATGGATTCTCTTTTATACATAGAACCCCTTGGTAGAGGGGCTGGAGAAGGAGCTGAAGCAGGCGTAGTATTTTATAGTCAAACTACAATGGATTTCTAAAGTAGGACGCTTAATGCATAAGAATGGTGCAAGACCAGAATAAGAATTATTAGGATTCTTCAGAATTTTTCTCAAAATGAAACCAGACAGTAGCAGAGGAAGAATGTGATTGAAATGGAATTTGCAAATTGTATTTTTCAGGTTTCAGACAGGAATCCAAAAACCAAACCATTTATCTATGGTATGGGAAGCAGAGCAGAGAGGTGGGTTAAGAATGGAAAGTAACTCTTTCTTTAATAACTTCTCTTTATTCCACTTCTTTTCTGCTCCACAGAGGCAAAGTCTCCAACAAAAGCGAAGCAGGTATTTGTCTTTTTGGTTTTGAAAATACTCTCTAGATTTGTAACTTAACAAAAATCAGTAATGGAAGCACTAGTAAGTGTCATTGTGAGATGGGTTGCCATGACTACTATGTAATGTAAAAGGTTTTTCTTGCTTAGGTAAGAAATGTGTTTCAGGAACACTACTTTTAGACTTGGCTTCTCTGTGTAACAGCAGCCAGCACCCTTGGTGAGGGGAGGAAAGGAGGGCAAGTGTGTATGTGCATGCGTGCTGGGATGATGCCTGCTTTCCTCTTGTGTAGTGCAGGAGCTTGGCTCTTTAAACTGCAGAAGAGAGGATCTAGAGAAATTCTCTCTATCTAAAACATAAAATTAAAGGTTATCGCTGGTTTTGCTGGAGACCTCTTCCTGTGAGAATCATGGCAGATTTAGGTAATTAAATTAGTTTCTTACATTTTTTATTTAGTGTCTTATCTTGGAGTGCAAGTAGACCTGGTAGACGTGCTGGTGGCTGGGAAGTAGACAAGGGTGCAATGCATTGGTCATGCCTTCTCTGAGTGCAGAGGTGGGTTTTTTGGGGGGCTCAGGCTGAAGCTGGTAAAGAGGAAAGATGGTAGCTGTGAAGAATGGCATGACTGGGCTGTGTGTGAATGAAGTGTTTTAAGGTCACGGGTGCTAAACCTATTGTCAGCTTCTGCTTTTTTACTAAATCTTGTTTGTTTCCACTGAAGCATGATTTACAAGGGAGCAGATTCTTATTGTCAGGCATGTTTAATATCTTTGTGTTAGTAGAGATGTGGTCTTTACCCAGGGGAAAAAAGGAACTGCATGAGCTGCTAAAGTTGATATTAATGTGGGATTTTTTTATTTTTTTTTTAATAAAACAACTTGCTCAGACTTTACTAACCAAACTAACAAACCTACCTTTTCTGGCTGGTGAAACTTTCAGCATGATCAAGGCTCTAAATTAAGTTCAGAAAGAAGTGGAACTCCAAAAAAACGCAAAGCCCCACCTCCTCCTATCAGTCCTATTCAGGTAAAGAAAAGACCAATTTTGAGATGCTTTTAGGGGATATAAAGCATTTTGAATATTATTAGAGTTATGTTGGCAGGGTTTTCTCTGTCACTGTTATTTTATATGCCTGTCTTACCATGAGTGCTTTTCCTAAAATTAGGATGACACCATGAAAGCACATGTTGCTTAGATTAACTAAGCAAAATTGCTTAAAATGCAATATGGTCAAAGATACAACTGTACAATTGTTTCTTCCAGCTAAAGATGTCATTTTTGCTTTTGATTTCAATAAGTAAATAATAAGTTTTTTTATATTTTAGTTATATATATACATGGATACATATTATTATGGGTATATATGCATATCAAAATAAGATACTTAACTGCATTTTGGTACTATATAAGTCTATTTAATAGTTAGGTTAAATCTTAAACCAGAATGTAACCTGTGTAACAGCTACACTTCTACACTTCTTATATAATACTGATTCAGAAGGGCACTAAATAATTAGGTCTGTTCTCTGAAAGTGACCTACAAATGTGACTTATATTAGTGCAGGTGAAAGTATTCTTTAATGCATGTACATGCATATATATACGTATATGTGTGTGTGTGTATATATAGCTATATAGATATACACATATATACATATATATATAGGCACATGTTAGGGAGGTACCTGTATGTGCATGCATGTAGACATACCTATTAATATAATTTTTTTTACAGATTAATGATTTGTCCTCTCCACACTCATCAACTTCAACTCCCATGACTGGAAAAGGGCAGGCTTTCTTTGCTGATCAAGTGTGCAAGGTATCAGTGTTCCATTCTTATGAGCTTAGGGAAGGAAAGTACAGGATCTGTTTTGCTTGATGTTATATTTTGATGACTGCAGAGTCTCCTGTGACTTAATTAGTGAATGAATCCAAATCTATTTCAATGCAATTCATAAAACAAATGTAATGATTACTTTAATGTGTGACAAATATGTACATATAAATAGGTTGTTTAGTCAGGTTGTTTAGTTAGTTAGTGTTTAGAAGTATGGTTATGAAAGTATTCATGTTCCAAGAGGTCAATTTCTAGTATCAGCAAAGTGCATGGAATTGGGCAGTGCAAAAAGAGACCGTTTTACCAAAAGATGTCAGTGAAAGGGTTGAGTATGCTCTGTGTGATCTTTATCTTGTGTTGCTGAAGATTTTTTTAAACACGTCAGTATGTTGCGACTACTTATCACAGGGTGTGCAGTCTTCCAAACTATTTACAAGATAGTTGCCTGTGTTTCATTAGTATTTAATGGGAATTGGGCAATGGAACTTGAATGGCTTTCACACACTTTGAAATACTGGATACATGCTACAATTAAACAAGACCTCGGAAATAAAAGACATCCATGTGGACAGGCTTTATCCAGCAGAATCTATACTGCCTATAGTTCTTTTTGCTGAACTGTCCAGCTTTTCATGTGCGTTTTCTGTGAAAATGTTTTCTTTTGATGTCTTAACAGGAAGAATTCAGCTCTTTGCACAGGGATAATAAAGACAGACTGAGTGACAGCACAACAGGTATATAATTAATCCTTTTTTCATTAGGTGTTTTAGGTGGCATGAAATGCTGAAAACCTCTATACCTTTCTACTTAGAACATGAGACACACTAAGTATTGAGAGTGACATTTTGAAGTTCCACAAGCAGCTCCCCACCAAAACATCCTGCTTCTATTGTGTTAACCTAACACCTTCTTGGGGTGTTTGTAGGAATAGTTTGCTTGCTCACTGCATTTAGTGGTCATGGGAACAAGCTGTTTAAATGTTGGAATAACTATCTAAATAGCATTTCAGTTTTTTGAAACCTTTTGAATCTTTTTTTTTTTTTCCTCTGAAGGTGCTGATAGTTTATTGGATGTGAGTTCTGAAGCTGACCAACAAGATCTACTTCTGTTGATGCAAGCAAAAATTGCCTCTCTGACATTGCACAATAAGGAGCTGCAGGACAAATTACAGGTGACATATTTTGGTGCTGTTCTGATGGTCTCTTAATCTGCTAGGCAGAATAAAGAGCTGCTTACTGTTTTAAAGAGTTGTACTGTGAAGATCTTTTAATGAGCTTGTGGGTAAGATCATGCAAACACTCTGCCCCAAAGGATTAAATCAGTGTTTTGATCTTCTCACTTTTCCCATAAATTAATGAATAACTTTCTTTATCATGATAACTACATTCTAAAATATATTGTTAACAGTTGTGCTAGAAGAATTTTAATTTGCATAGCTTTGATTACTAGCTTATGGAGCTCAGCCCAGACTTTCAGAGGAGCTTGGCACTTATTGCCTTCTCTCACTGCAGATGACTAAATCGAAACAGCTGAGTTTTGAACTTTTCTAGAACTTTCTTCCATGACTCTTTCATCATCTTTCTCTATAGGATGTGGCAATACTTCCTTGCTTACTCTATTCTAAAAAAATTAGAATCGTGTGCTTGGTTTTATTGTGCAATTGTTGGTGGGTTTTTTTGGACAGGAAAGAACACCTAAAGAGGGGGATTCAGCTGTAGAATCTTATTCATCCCAAACACAGTTTGAGCAAACAGCAGAGAGACAAAATGAGTTCTTGTCTCAGGAGATGAAGCCTTCATTAAATGCCACTCAAATTCAAGAAAAGTTGACAAGCCCCAGAGAAGTAAAAATGTACATTCAGGAAGACCTAAAGGATGTGCAGAGAAAATTAGAGAATTCTGAAGCAAAAAGAAAGCATGTGGAAACTCAAGTCCAGTCTAGAGTCCCAGAAACAGATAATTTAAACAACCCAGACATTTCAGAAAATTGTTCTGATCTTAATTTGAAATTCAAAGAAACTCAAAACAGACATGAGGAAGCTGTGAAAGAGATTTTGAATGTACAAAGGCAAAAGAAGCCAGTTCTTGTTTCCTCTGAAAGTGAAGAAACTGGTTCTGATCTGAGTATGTTGAAGATTACATATGGAGAAGTTGAAGCACTTAAGCAAGAATTGAAGAAAGCATTGGAGGAAAGCGAAAGACAAAAAGAAAAAGTGAGAGAGCTACAGAAAAAGTTTGAAGACAGAGAGCAGAAGATGGCAGGCAAATTGTCTGTGGAAGAGTGTGAGGAAATGAAGAATTCATATTGTTCAGTTATTGATAACATTAATCAAGAGAAAGCATTACTGATTGAGAGGTACAAGGAAGGGCAAGAGGAAATTAAAAGGCTACAGGACAAGTTGACAAATCAGATGCAGTTGGAATCTAGTGCTGAAGCTGGAGAAAGGAAGGATGTGATGCACAGAACGATAGATGAGCTCAACAGGCAACTTAGTGACTTGTCTCAGTTGTATAAGGAAGCACAAACAGAGCTTGAAGACTATAGGAAGAAAAAAACTCTAGATGATATAGCTTCAGACTACATTCCTAGAGATGAACATGACAAACTGATGGAGGTAACAAATTCTTTGAAATACAAAGCAGAAAGTGAGTTATCAGAAATGAAATCCCAGTACACAAAAGTATTAGGTGAATCAAAAGAACTCAAGCAACTGTTAGACATTCAGAAGCAAAACTCTTTGCCAATTACTGAACACCGTCAGGTAATCAATGCACTCAGAAATACCATAAAGGAGATGGAGGAAGAAATAAATGAGCTCAAGCGATTGCTTAGCAACAAGGAAAGCGAATTAAGAAACTTGGAAAAGGCATTACTGGAAGAAAAAGCTGCAATTAATGAAGCCATGGTACCCAAGGTCACATATGAAAAGCTCCAGTCGTCACTAGAGGGTGAAGTTAGTGCTTTGTCATCCAAACTGAAGGATGTAATCCGAGAGAAGGAAAATATATCCTTAGATGCCATGAAACTGAGAAATGAAATTTTGCACTTGAAAGAAACGAAAGAAGGTATGCATACTCTTCTTGAAGCAAAGGAACGGGAGGTGTCTGATCTTCAGCACAAGTACCACCAAGTTCAAGAAGCTCTTACTGAATTGAAAAACTCATCAAAACTAGAAGAAGATAAAGACAAAAAGGTCAGTGACTCCGTACAGTGGAGGGGTAATGTGAGTTCAGAGTACAAAGCGTGTTTATGAGTGCATGAGTTCCCTAACTGACAATGTTGGTTCAAGTACGTTATGAGTGCATTTCCCCCTCTGAAAATACAGGTATAGAAGGCAAAGGAGTTTTCTCCATGTTTGGCTTTGCAGTTGGTTTCCCCTCCCTGTGGAAATGTACATGATCTTTCAATTTACTTCTTTTAAGTTATGCTTAGGTTGGGTTCACACTATTTTCAGGTGGCTGAAGTCAAAGAAATGAGATTTGCAGCAGGGAGATATTCCAGAGAAGACAAGTAAACAAAATATCAAGAAGGAGCAAAAATTCACTGTTAGAATATTACCACATCATCTGAACCATAGCATTTGACTAATTTTCCTCTGCAGCTACCATATCTGTCACTACAAATTCCTTTATAAAAAGCTATGCATTTTGGTAGTTGTGAATAGCTGGCCTGTGTTTGGTTCAGCAGAAAAATTTGTAAAGGTGGTAAATGCAGCCCTTCTTGTTAAATATTGCTGATGTTCAGAACAAGGAGTGCAGTTTGAATAGACTGGACTAGGATGGGGAATAGAGGAGCATTGTAGCCCTTTGCTTACATGACATCTCTGTTTGTCCATGGAGTTTATTTACAATTTGGTTTGACCCCCTTCTTAGATTTCAGTCACAAATAAGTCAAAGATAAAACACACAGGAAGACAGTATGCAGAGCATCTTTTAATGAAAACCTGTGTTTTGCCTCCCTAGATCAATGAAATGTCCAAGGAAATTAGCAAATTAAAAGAAGCATTGAACAGCCTTTCTCAGCTCTCCTACTCAACCAGTGCCCCCAAAAGACAAAGCCAGCAGCTGGAGGTGTTACAGCAACAAGTGAAGCAGTTGCAAAACCAACTGACTGTAAGTGTGAAAATTTGTTAACATAACATTAGTCCCAGTTCTCCAAAGAAACCTGTACTGTTCTTCACTCTGCCTTATTTAAAATAGAGTACAAAACAGTGAGTACATGGAAAAGAATCTTCATCCAAAAAAACCTGTAATTTCTGTTTCTCTGAAACATGTAGGAATTTACCAAGTCATGAATAGCACTTTAGAAAGAGCATAACTAAAGAAAGCTGGTTTTCCACATATTTTTCTCAGACCAGTTGAGAAACAGATGTTTTGTAGTAAAATGGAGTGACCAAACCTGCTGCTCAGACCTTAATTTGTGGAAAAGTACAATCAGTGTGCAGAGGATTTTCAAGAACATTTATCAGCTGATGTTGTTTTGGTGTTTTATGCATTTTGGAAGAAAGTATGAGGTTTCAAGTCAAGCATATGCATCTTTTTATGGGGAGCATAGTTTATTCTCTGAAATTTGAATGCCTTACAGATCTTTTTTTTTTTTAATTTTGTTGTTTATGCATGAAAGATCCAGTCTTCTAAGCTGGGTTGAGTCATAAATGATATTTCCTAGAGCTTGCTGACCCAGAGGAGAACATTATTCACTCTTGGGGATCAAAAGAAGGTATTCTCCACTGCAGGCCTTTGTTGAGGGCTCTGGAGTGCCTCTGAAAGGAGAATTCTCAGACTGACGTGCTAAATGGGGTCTGCTTCTTACCTTTCCCAGCAGAAAAACAGAGGGCGCAGTATGCCAGAAAAATTCCCTTGTAGGCGAGAGAAATAATAGGCAGGACATCCTGTCAGTGTGAAGGCCCAGACTTTCTTATTCCAGCCCTCCATGTCTGAAAGGACCCTTCATCTCACACTAATTTAGGATCAGCAATGTAGTGTAAAGTGCAAAAGTATACAGCACATTGGAAAAGCAGGTAGCTTTTAAAACAGGACAGAAACACTCTTTCCTTCTTGTAGCTTTCCTAACAGCTTCATGTGTCTTTGGAAAGGTGGCTTCTGAGTTGTGGCCGTCTGTGGTCATTGAAAAGGATTGGGTGGCTTTCATGCATTCAGTGTCCTACAGGGTAAGCCCTTTTTCACCTGGGAAGGCATCAGCTCTAACAGAGGGGTTGATGCCTTTTTTGGGCTGACTTAAAAATAGAGGCCAGACAGAATTAAGAGAATAAAAGCAGATATATTTAATATAAAAGCAGATATATTTAATGAAGGGCCTTCACGTACATTAAGGGCAGACAAAGCCTCCCCAAAGGGGCTATAACCAAGATGGAAGACAGTAATGAGTTTACAGATGGTTATAAGTTTGGTCTATTTATATACTAGGGATTAATACTCCAATTACAGCACCAGATAATGAAGTCATATACCCCCAGTTTGCCTCTCCCCCAATTCATTTTTATTTATATTTTTCAGGGCCTGGGGCAGTAGGGTGTCCTTGAGCTGCAGGCCTAGAGAGGAATTGCTTTGTCTGAATAAAACAGGAGAACAGTAGCTGATAGGCTGTGGAGTTTTAGAGCTATACCCTAAAGCAGTACAGGATTTGAAATATATAAAAGCTAAAATCCTAAGGCATCAGGGCCACTGCCTTCAGGGAGGAGGTGAGTTGCAATTGAGAGTTGATTTGTCAGAGTACTGTTGTCTTTCCACAATTCTGGTTGCTGCTAAGGTTGGAAATAGAGTATGTGCTCATTCCACAACTTAGCAGCTCAGTACTTCTTAAAACTGATGATATCAGAGCTCTTTTACTGAGGTAGGTAGAACTACAACATTTTTCTGAACATTCTTCCAAGCAAATTTAGAGTTCCTGGTGACACAACACTGTCTGAACTGGTTTTCAATGCATTACATAAGTCTTTGGTTTGAATTTTCCTCAGTCAGGATCTATTTGAGGAGTTCTGAATTCAATAGTTCTGAGTGCTCTGTGCCTTTCTGTTTAACTGTTTTCTAGGAAACAAAGAAACAACACCAGGAAATTGTCTCGGTTTACAGGATGCACCTTCTCTATGCTGTGCAGGTATGGTTGCATGTTGTCAGTCTCTCGGTTTTAGTATTTTAACTGAGGATGTTTCTTCTGCGGGTCTAGTAAGAATTTTGCATGTTTTCACTAAGACATAAGGTATGACAGTGCAAGAACAAATTTAACACTGCTTCCACTTGGGAAATTGATCTAATTACTATACCTGAAAAATAGTTTGTAGATATTCTTAAAGATTAGAGCTGCATTGATTTAATCATCTTTTTTTCTCCCTCCCTTTGTCTAGGGTCAGATGGATGAAGATGTCCAGAAAGTGCTTAAACAAATTTTATCAATGTGTAAAAGCCAATCGCAGAAAAAGTAAACAAAAAAGCCATGGAAAACTCTCTATTTTTATTAATCCTGTTATGGTTATTTTATCTAGATTTGCCTTAACATAAGATTTCAAATTGGCAATTTGCTGCTTTTGTGTTATTGTGCTGTTTGTGAGGGGGATATATTTGTCTGTCTGTACCACTTCCATGTGCATTTCCATGTGCAGTAGCTAAACACATGCCTGCTTTTCATACCCAAAATGCAAGTATGTTCTTCAGATTTTTTACATAGGCCACTCCATGTCATGTTTACCCTGTGAGTACTTTTCCAGCTTCCTGTAATAGCAGCAGGTTAACCTGGAGGAAAGCACTGGTGTTGCCTGGATAAAGGTGAAATTCTCTGTAAGGTATTCTGTACTGATTATAACCTACATCTCATTACTGGGTGTGTTTGATACTGCAGCACTCAGATTTTGACATTTTGTCATATGCAGTCTTTGGCAGAGCAGAAGTGAACCTTACAGCAGTGAGCAGGAGTAGATATTTATGCTGAGCCAGAACGTGGAACAGCTACACTTCCTGGTGTAATGTTGTTTAAGATTAACACACTAAAACGTAGCTGCCCCAATTCACCCAATGCACTGAGTACACAAAACCCATACCATGCTTCATAATGGTTTCCTTAACTACCTGGTAGTGGAATGAAACTATTTTGAAAGGTAAAAGCATTAGTTTACTGAAGTTACATACAAACAGAACTGTCTCTATAAACAGCCCTTTATGATAGATTTAGCTGTCTATGCAAGCGTTGGCCATGAAGCTCAGGAACAAAACCATGTCATATACTTTTAGATAAGGGATTTTAGTGAACACAGGATGTTTACAGTGCATGTCAATGCCTCATACTTCCTAACCTCACTTTTTAAAGATCTTCTCTGCAGTATATTTTTACTGGCCTCTAATGAATTTTTTTTGTAATGAAACCATTTTTTCTACATAATATTTGCATTAAGCTTATTAACAAATATTTTTAGGTAACTGTGTCTTAGAGAGTTTCTTTTTATACCCCCAAGTACTCAGTAATAGTGAAGCATAGTGAAGTGTTTTCAGTTTGTAAGAAATTTGTATGGAATAATAGACCTGTCTGTCAGTGTGGTCCAGAGCAGTTAAGTGTAAAATTCAGCCTGCTATTCAAAAAAAAAAAAAAAATAGAAATTATAGGTAGACAACAGCAGGAGGTGTCAAAAAAATTTGTATGTTGTTTCTAGAGGCTACAGGCTTCAATAAAGCCTTTATCAGCACTTCTACATTTAAAGTCAAATAAAAATGCCTGATGTGGAATAGAATTAAACTATGGAAAAATGTTCTAAGCACACACTGCACTTGAGGGTACAACCATTTTAACAAGCTTGCGGCTTCAATATGGTATTGTGGTTTTTTTATTCTATGGGGATATGTCTCTATTGATAGAGAAATCTTTCAGAGCTATATAATCTATGAAGTTTATATAGAGTCATAATATGACAGGAGTCAGCAGTGCCTCAGGCTGACTGAACTCATAGTGCACTTATATCAGATAATTCCTAACGCTGGCAAAGCTAAATGGATTTTAAAAACAAAAAGAAAAACACCACCTTTTCATCAGTTAGACCTTGGTATTATTTTTTTTGAGAGGTTTAACTAATGCCATCTAATTTTGAACAGTATTTTATAGTTAGACAGCTTTGAAAATGCTCCAAAGAAATGTGAAAAAAATTTTGCTGCATCACTTCAAAAAGAACAAAATTTTAAGCATGCTAATGCTGCAAGTATAAAACTTGATGAACCATTTTGTAGGTTGCCTGATGGATTTAGTCTTCTACTTTGTTTTGGTTTGTATATTTATTACAATTATCTTTGTGGAATATTGGAAATTATATACTACAACATAACAAGTTTCTTTATATGTAAATTACAAGAAGTTTCCTCATGCAGCAAATAAACTATTTCCAATTTTTTTTTCATTTTTGTCTTCATTTACTTTTTGTATTGAGGGAAATCTCACTACACTCTGCTAACATAGTACAGATGTGTTTTATATCTGCTGTTTAAATAGATGACACAAGAACCAGGTTTTCCTCCCTGAAATTGCATCTTCATTATTAACTATCTTGATCTGTTGTGTGAAATAAATCCAGTCCAAACCCCACGCAGTGAGTTTTGCAGATGATGCCTTCTAGCTCATTGGTAAGTTTGTAGGCATTTCTCACATGGACACCTTGCTAGAGGTAATACAGGTTTCCCATTTGCCACTGGATTTATTACAGCAAAGTTTAAAATAACTTAGAGCTCAGCACACATCAGTGATGTCCCACAGTTCTTCAAAACTAGTGGTTCTCTGTCACTTAGCACTTCACACACAGAATTGCAATGAGAATATATGTAAGAGTATATGCATATGGATATGTCTGCTTTTTAAACTTAGTTACACAGTCAGCTCCATTGCCTTTTATATTCTCTTCTCAGTTTTATTTGAGAAACAGTTCTATCAGTGACTGATTTGCTTGTATCTTCTTGCCTGAAGGAATTGCATCTCTTGTGACCACATCCCAGGGCGCTTTAGCCTCTTGTAACAAACTTCTGTAAGCTGCCCAGCACTGGGTTCCCTTTGCAGATGGACAAGCTGACATGCAGTCTGGGCCTGTGGCGTACATCTACCTAAGCTGCTACTCTGAAACATCCACACCTGTTTCTGACCTTCTGAATAGTCAGTTATAACAGCATCAGCAGCATTTTTGTAGCCAATGCCTTTCCCTCTCTCCACTAAATGCATGAGTACTGGGAATCAACTCCTCTTGCCAAACTCGCTCACTGCAGTTGGCACACAACAGATATAATTTGGTCCGAGAGCTTGACCATACTGGTTCTTCTCATCCACCCTGTGTCCTGTCACAGTAGAGAATGATGACAAATGATGGTAGCAGGCTTCAGATGGAATCTGGGAGGAGACAACATCCTAGATCTGTATTAAGATCACCTTTCTTTTTCTTTCTCTTGCTGTTTAAACTAAGGGCAAGTTCCTGTAAGCAGGTGCTGCCCTGGTTATTTATCATCTGGCTCTCACAGGGCCCTTCTTTTGCCAACCCAAATCAACATGAGAAGATGGTGAAGAGTGAAAACACAGAAGATTTCAGCAGCAATCAGAGGAGAACTTTTTGCAGTGTGCCATGTGTCCTTGCTGGACAGATTTTTTGGCTGCAGCAGCACATAGTGGCACCTAACCAACACCTGAGCAAAGGGGTCATTATCCTCTGAGATGAATCTGGGTTCCTGGGCATGTTGCATAGCAGACTTCCTGCTGGAGCCTCAGGGGTAGAGGCACAGGTAGAGAGCCAATCTTGCCCCTTACTGGCTGAGCAGGGGGCTCAGGGATGGCAGAATGGCTTGCTGATTGCCTTCCCACATCTCTTCAGGTCAGCTCCGTGGTGATGTGATGTAGTGCGAGTAAGCATAAGACAGCAAAAGCACAGGGAAGGCCATGCTGCTCTGTGCTGCAGCAAACCACACACAGGGTCCCAGGAGAAGCAGCCAAGGAAGGGCCAGTGGAGAAGCTGACAAGAAATCCCTTGGCAAATGCCATTTTACTATAGGGAGCTATTAAAGTCACTTCATGTTCCGTGAGTTTGCCTGAGAGTAGCTGGCTGGGGGGAAAAGGTAGCTGGCATGTGCTTTCAGTGCTGGGTGCTTCAGAACTACATAAACTACTACTTCAGCATGTATATTGTGTTTAGACCACAAATCTGCTCTCTGGAGGGGTCTGGCAGGGTGGGGTACCAGCCTGGAGTATGCAGGAGCAGGGAGGGTAAGCCAAGAGCCTGGAGTACCACATGGGACACGGGAGGAGAGCTGACTGATGGCACTAGAACAGGCCCTTTGCCTGTCTGACTTTCCCCGGGGAGGCTCTTGCTTGGGTCAGCCACACCAAAGCATCCTGGGGCTTTCTTCACACCAACACCAGCCCTCATCTGAGCCAGAGGCAGACACAGAAGGCAGAGGCAATCTGCTCTCTAATGTGGCAGAGACACGAGTGGTGCAGGCAAGAATTGCTGCCTCAGGTGGTGTGGTCAGGCATCCCAGTGCAGGGCAAGTCCTGGAGCAGAGGCAGCCTCCTGTGGCTTTGGATGTCTGGGGGTCAGGCCTCAGTCTGCTGCTTGGGACCCAGGCTGCAGAGCAGCTGTGCTTGTTCGGGAATTGTGTCAAAAACCTCTGGGGGAATTAGGTGTGGAAGTTTCAGAGTAGCATAGGCAAATGTGATGTACCCCAGCACATACTCCGCAGGCACAGCTGTAACACATCAAAGTTTTTCAAGCAAATAGAAATTGGTGCAAGACTTTTAGGACAGTTCAGTGATCAAATCATCTATTAACTGTGGGTTTGGTCTGCCACAGAGAATACTAAAAGTACTGAATTTAATGTCAAAGCACAGTATAAGAGTTTGAGTACCTTTAAACCTTCATCTATAAACACTCCTTGGTTCTGTAGCTAAGGGTCACTGTTGCGTGCTCGTGGGTGCTCACCAGTTCTCAGCAGAGCATTTCATAGAAGTGAAGTTTCAAATGCTTTTCTTCATCCCTGCCTCCTCCTCCTCTGTTTGGATCCTTCATGATGCTCTTGAACATAAGTAACAGAGACGTTAAGCACAGACTAGAACCATATTTTGTTTTGGTTTTATATCTGTGGTCTTCTCAGGGCAGTAACAAATTCATTCTCCTCAACAGTAATTTCCTTAAACCCCTTTCTTAGAATTACAGTGGTAAATTGCAGCTGAATAAAAATAAGTGATTTAGTGTCTACTAATTTGATGAAGCCTGAGTTAAAGTTTTTGTAGCTACAGAACAGTCAAGTCTGCTACTGGCAGGAAAGTCATGTGCTTTGCCCAACAACTGTTAATTAGATTCCCCAGGTTTCGGTGCTGTGTGAACAAAATGTCTTCTTGGAGAAATGACAGGTTCTGTCACGTCAGCCACACTGATGGCAGACTGCATGAACTGCATGGACTATCACTAACATATTACTCCTCTGATGACCGTTTTTTGCCTTTACACAATCAGCAAAAATCAGCTTGCTTTTAGCCCTGCTGATGCCAGTCCCCAATCCTACAGGTGGTTTTGGGAGGGTCTGTTTCGTGGTACCACCCGTAGTTCTTGGGGCATTTTATGGCAATGGATTTGTAGGTATTTCCAAACTTTTGGCTGCCCTGACAGACTTTTAATTGATGAGTTTAACACAGGTTAATGTAATCATCAGGCTTTCAGTCTATTATTTTAAAAGCCTGCTTACATGCTGGTCTGTCCAGATTCATTGTTGGCCCTCTTTGTACATTTTCCAACAGCCTGAAATGCTCAGACAATTGGTAATGGGGCCTCCTACCAGCAGCTGGAGATTGGAAACAGGCACATCTCAGTGACATCATCTCCTGCAAGGAGCTTAGGGCTGGAGCCCATGGGTATCCATCTGCTCCTGCCTGCCCAGCTGGGCCCTGCACACTCACGGTGTGCTGGTGTTAACCCTGCCTGGGGTGGGAGCTGCAGCTGGTACCCTGCACCCAGTGACCCTCATCAAAACACCAGTGTGCCTGTATGGGAAGCTGCTGCTCTGCTGTAGTCACTTTTCCCTTTGGGATTAGCCAAAATGCTCCTAAGTGATGGCTGGGCTCAGGCCCACAGCACTCTTCCTGCATTCCTTGTTGCAGAGCAGCAACAGTCCCCACTCACTGCCCATTCAGAAGCCCTGTCCAAAAATGTTTGGATGCATTTGCTTCTCTTCTAAACACTCTACTGTCCACCAGAAGTCAAACTCCAAAGAGTCTGGGGAACAAGGGGGATGCTGGATTAAACTGCATTTTCCAGACAAAAAGAAATAAACTCAAAACCTTCCTGTTATATGTATATGATAATGTGTGCAAATAAAATTGTCATATATTTTATAGTTATATACTGTTATACTCTTATAAGAAGCTTTTAAAAACACACAAGCCAGTGATGGGGATTGCAACACAATGTTGAAACCACCTGGACAAAGGAGGGAGGACTCAATTCACAAGCAATTGAACATGGCCAGCCCGGAGATGGATCATCCATCAAGGTGGTCCAAGGAAGACCTGGACAATAAATATGTGATAAATATCCAAAACTGAGATAGCCAGAGCCATCAGGAAGATACATCTCAGTACCGGGGAACGCGATCATGGGAGTTCATCACTCTCCAGACATGTATTGTTCAGCTTGCCACAGAGAAAAGAACTCCACCTGAATATGTGCAGTCCAAAAAGGAAGAAAAGGGACTCTGCCTTGAGCAAGAAAAATCGTATAAAAATCGGCCAGACAGGACAGTCAATGTGGAGCATAGGAGACCCTCTGCTGCAGTGGTCAAACTTGTGTCCCACTCAGCGCCGACACCCGGCACTGACCTTTTTTTCTTTTTGATAGTGGCTTTTCTTTTTGTTGTTATTCTCTAAATTTATATTTGGTACACTTAATACATTTCCTTAAATTAATAAATTGGAGCTTTTATTTATAACCATTCCTGAGAAAAAAACCTAGAATTCCTTCCTCTTGGAGACTCCCTCACAACTGGAAAACTGTGCGTGGGGAGTGACAACTCAAAGCACAAAGGTCTGCACTGCCCCATTCCTAGAAATAGATTTCCTGGATTTTTGCTGTTCAAAATGCAGGTCCCAAAAAAAAACGGCAGTGCGTTCAGGAATTGGTGGAGCCACAGCTGGGTGTGAGCACAGCTGGGCAGATGTTGCAGAGCTGGCACACACGTACCTGTGAAGTATTTCAGAGCCAGGCACCTGCAGGAAGGTCCCGGTGGGGAGGGCAGGTGTTCCCCTGGTTGTGCTGCTTCTGCATCGTCCCCTCAATGTGTGCAGAGCCCTGCGCTGCCTGAGGGTGGCTGTGCGGTTTTCAGAGTGTCTAAAATTCCTGCCCTTGCTGCCACATGAGAATTTGTGTCGCAGTCTGAGGGCCGGCAAGGGGCAGGCTGGCAGTTTCCTCCGCAGATGCTTTGGCCGGTGGCTGTCTGGCACCGTGTTGCCTTGCAAATATCTGCATAATTAAAGCCGACCGAGATCACCCAGGCCGCATTGCAGCATGGAGGAAGAGGCAGGCGTGCACTCTGCACAGCTTTGTGCAGCCCATGCCTCTCTGACACATTTCCTGGGAGCTTTGGTCAGATCTGGAGAGTGACTGCTCGTAGTTGCAGCCTGGATATACCCCAGCTCCTCCAAAACCTGTTCGATGCCACCAGTTAGTTTATTAGGAGAGTAAACCTGTTTGGCCAGCTTGTTGTCTAGAAAAAATCAGATTTGTTTCCCGGTGTACAAGAAGCAACTAATTGCACACATAAGAGAAACACTGATTATTTATTCCAGTGGCACAAGCCTGGGTGTTCAGTGGTGTTCCACAAATCAAGTACACCAAGTCTCAAAACTTTTTACTATTTATACACTCTAGTGTTAAAGAAACTTTCCATTGTTGAGCCTCTCTGAAAGTCACACTCCCAGTGCCAGACTTTTACTGCTGGGGCTGAATTTCCTTCACAGTGGGCAGCTCCAGTGCACCTCAGTGCAGCTGATGCCCCAAGCACTCCATTCATAGTCAGACCAGGTTACCTTGCTGACTCCATCCCAGGCTTCCCATGAAAGAATCTCAGACATCTCATCCACAAAGCCATTTATTCATGGCGCACTTACACAGAAACAGCTCATGCTGATGCCTCTGAGGAGGGACCCCCAAAAAAGGAACCCCAGGGAATTTTACACCCTGTCTACCCCGGTGCAAATGTAGGTCTTCCTCTCCAGTTGGCACATGCCACCCTTTCTGTGTCAATTCACCCAGCTGGCATCACCTGTCTTCATCTCTTTTGTTATCCAAAATGTCTGCAATTGCCAGCCTCTGCTGTGTCTCCCAGTGTCCACTCACCCTGCCTGGTTTCACCGGGCTTTGTGCCCTCTGTTAATCAATCCAGCTGACTGGTTGGCAGTTCACAGCCTCGTCTCTCTCTGCACTCTCACCCAGAGCTCAACCCGCACCTCGAGTTCAGCTTGCAGACACAGCTACCTGCACCAGATGTATCCCTCAATATTAGCAAACATAGGCATTAATGTTTGTGGCCTACAAGAGACATTGTTCTCTTATTAATTAGTATTCTATCCTCTGTCAGCTAATGATCCCCTCAGTTCTTATGCTAATTAGTCTGCAACCCTCAGTCTTCATCTTCTTTTGACATGGTGGGCCATGAGTCAGTCTGTCATGATTTCTCCCTGGTGCAATTCTTTTTACCCACTCTAAGTCAGTTTCAGTACAGTTGCTGAGTTGGCCCTATTAATTTCTTCCTTATCTCGGGGAGTTCTGCCATATGTCCTTGTGGCTTTAAAGTTCTGCATTCTTTGTGTCTTCCTACTATCCTTCTTTCCGAGTTTTGTTAATCTCCCCCTAGGTATGAGATCACTGAAGCCTAACAAGGCAATTTTGCCAATGAGTAATTTATCTAACACCTGGATATAACTTAGGGCTTGTTAGCTGCTTTCTGTTTCGTGGATTAAATCTACTTTCGGGTTGATTAGGGGTACAAGTACCTAATTAGGTGAAGTTGTTCCATGGATCCCTTACATTACAAACCCGTTATTGCACTCCACTGGCATTTATGTGGTAAAATCCAAACATACTTTCAGTCAGATTTCTTATCTCAGACCTCCAGCTTTCTGCTCACTTGCTCCTTTTTGGTCACTCCATGGTCCCATCTGAACCAGAAGGGGTAGGAGGCTGTTCACTTTTCCATCGAGAGTTTTAATCCACACACAGGCACAGCCCCCCACCCACTACCCCACCTCAAATGCTGACACAGTGGGAGTGAAAGTGAGAGTGAATTTCCCATTCTCTCTCTGCTCAGATTTTCAATGGTATTACAAAAGGGAAGATTTTCCTGGGTAATGCAGCTTTTTCTAGACTCCCCTGGATGCATCCCTCCAGAATATTTACACAGATTGATGTTCACAGTCGTGATGGACATTCGCTTCTCACCCCTGTGAGAGTCTTATTACTTCACGGAAATCAGAGCTGTGTGGGGCACCTGACTGCATCTCCAACAGTCTCTGCCTGGAAGAGCCCTTGCAATGCTAATGCACTGCGCTGTTATCCTTAGACCCAGATAAGGGCAGATGCAGGGTAGAAAGAGGCTGAACCCACCTCGTCTCTTCCATTTATACTTAAGCAGTCCTAGCACACTCAAAGAGAGATTCACATGAGTTTTTGTCTCAACAAGAAGGCATCAAGCAACTATTCTGTAACAGCAGCATTTAAAAATAATTCTGTGTTTGTTCAGTTTAGTGTTAGTGTTCTTTAATGTTACAGTTCAGCAAAAACCTCTGCTTCTAAATATTTAATTTGGTAAGACCCACCTGATGGATTCTTCAAGCTTTTACAAAATGAAGTTAAAAACAGACACCTACAGGAAACAGCATATGGCTTATCTCAGGTTTTCCACCTGCTCCACTAACCTCACTAAAGACTCATCTAGTCAAGTATACAAGAGTGCTATTTCCTTGTAAATCCAAGTGTAAATAAATAATAAATAACTGAACTAAATAAAAACTAAAAAAGTGACTCTTCCCCACTACTAACTTTAAAACAGAGGTATAGAACTGAACTCCCCCTGGAGAATTTTGTTCTTTACAGATCCAAATAATTGTAGAAAGTTAAGGACACACAAAAATTCAGTATGTTGAGAGGCAGGAGACAACAGTAGCACCAGCACTCTTGGTGTTTTGTTGGATAAAGATTGTCATGAACCAAAAGCATTATTTTGACTTCTGGAATCTTCAAAGCCTGGTGGGTACCCAAGGCCTGCTGGCAGTAGATTTCTGGCAAAAATCAAAGAAGTGCCTTCTTTCAGACCTGAGGTAGGTTCCTACTCTGAAAATCACAAGTCAAAATAATTGGAGGGAAAATCACTTGCCAGTTTTCCGGCCTTGGGACGTGGAATGCCCACAGCCCCAAATGCTGCTCATCAGAGCTGCCAGGCACCACCTACCACAGCTGAAGCCAGGTGGAAGGCACTGATGACTGCTCCCACCCCAGGAACTGATTTACTTTACGAGACAAGTAATTCTGAGCACCTGCATGCACCATTTTAAAAGAAATCAGGTGGGCAAAATCTGAGTTACGACAAGCCTCTTCTGTGATACTACTAAAGAAAAAAATCATGAGCTGGACATTTCTTCTGCTGCAGGTTTCCTGTAGGCGGCCAGGGGAAAGGTCTTAAACAGTAGAGACGAAATGTACTAAAGGTAACCTGAGTTCTGAATCCATGCAAAGTGTAGCAGGAAATCTAATGCAGCAGTGGATATCTGTGGAATTTAAGTAACTTACTAGGTCAAAAAGATGTAGTGCACTTCCAGTTGTCATCCTCCTCTTCACACTTTTTATTTTACTGTGTTTGAACGCAGAAATGTAATTGAATGCATCACAGATGGATTCTAAATCAATTCACTGCCTTTCAGCACCAAGTCTGTAACCCAGATTTCCCATATTCTTGTCTCCCTAAAATCGTATCTATTAAGCGTATCTATTAAGTCAAAAGTGCATAAGCACCTCCCTACCTCTGTGAGCTCAGGCTGGGACCCAGCCCATTTGGGGAACAGACATTAACTCCTGCACAAACCATATGTGTCTTTAATACCTAATATTTATTAAATGCAAGTTATTTTCAAGTATTTTGTGGTGTTCTAACTTCTATGGATATTACTTCTATGATTACTGTTGGTAGGCCATAGAAGAAATCATTAAAAGTACCATTTCAAGAAGTAACACAATACATCTGTAGGCAATTATATAAAAATTCAAATGTTAAGCCACAATTCCTGGACACAATACAAGAAACTTGGATATTCTAAAATAAATCACACCAAGAAAGTGGTGTGTTCTACTTCATTTTTATCCTGTCACCCAAGGATTATGTAAATCATCCTTGATACTCAGTAGTCAGGGATAACATTTAATTCCCAATGAGACCATAACCTTTTTTTCATTGAAGAAATTGACACAGTAGCCAGAAGGAAGTTCATTTATATTTGTCCTGGGTACACTTTAGTTTGGAAAAAAAAAACCCAGTGAATAAGAGCAATTTAGAATATCAGGTATCTATGTCAGCCTTGTAGTTCAAAAATTTGTAATTGTTTATAAATTTCAAACAATTAACTTTATTGTAAACTTTATTGCAATAAATGAATGATTTGCACAAAAAACAATATAAGTGAATAGATAACACTGTGCAATCCAAAAGTATACTCTCGCTAGCATGAGCAAGAGGCTTAAAATTATCTACAAAAACATTTTAAACTTAAAATAAACCCAAAGGATTCTGTCAAACTGTGGAGCGATCAACTTGGTAACATATGAACACAGTGTTTTCCATAGAAAACAAAGCAAGACCTCATCTGACAGACAACAAAACTTGACCAGAGGCTAAAGCTGTAGAAACCACCTGCAGATTGCTGACTCTCTGATCACATCCCACAGCAGAGAGGCAGGCAGCGTGTGTGATTTGCAGAGTCTGCATCCAGTCCAGTGCCTGGCTGCTCCCAGGTACTTCCCGTTCTGAGCAGGTTGGTTGGTGTGAAAGGACACATGGACTTTTGACCTAAACACAACCCATCTGCTGTTCTGGAGGTGGGACACTGCAGAAAGCTGCCCACAAACCATACTCTTTTCAGTGAGCATGAGGTCAGCCCCATTTTTAGCAGTGACTTGAATACACCACTCCATGGGATCCAGGCAGATACTCCCCTGCTGCACTTTAGCAGCGACTCCTATTGCTGAAAAAGGCTATTGAGAAGGCAAACTAATGTAATAAAAAATTTTCAATATGAAACTTTTCTCTCTTATGATTTTTAACACCACCAGTAGAGAGCAGCAGAGGAGGAACAGGGACATGAATACACAGAAACAGTTCAGCTGCAGCATTCTTGAAACTATTGATCCAAAACAATGACGTTGCCAGAACAGTTGAGAGTAATGAGTAAGTAAATCCTGGCTTCTATATCAATTTACCAATTCAACATCAGTTTGCAGACAAAATGGTAAGTTGGTGTCAGGCAGAATTCCAAGGAACTGAGTTATATTAAGAATTAATCAAGATGAGAAGCTTAGTAGCTTCACTGACAAAACATGTCAGCATTTGCCAGCAAGAAACCACCTGCTGCTATTAAGAGATCTGTTTGAAAATGTTGTCCTCTTTCAAGACAGATTTGGTTTTAAGTCACTGAAAGTTAACCGGCTAATATACAGCTAGTATTCAGATTTTCCCCTGTGTAATTGCTCACTAGAAGTCAAAGACAAAAAACATAACACAGACAAAAATTCTTGGACAGCATTGCAAATAGCATCAATGTATTACAGAAACAGTACTTTAACATCTGTGTTGGAAGCAGTGTCTATAGAAGATCAGCTGCCCTTTCTGCTTTTTCAGCTTCAGTTTGAGTCAAGGCTAAGAAATGTTTGCAGTGCAAGAAAATGAAAGTTTTCAGCTTTCTTATTCCAGAGTTAAAAAATAAAGACAATATTAACTCTATCAAAATCTACAGCTTTCATTAGGTTTTGTAAAAAATATAGTATTTTATATAAACAAAAATATATTACATACACCAGTACACACACCTATAGTTCTGCCTCAGTGATGTCCTCATCAGGGCAACAGTAGTATTCCACAAAACAGATCTGTCCATCTTCATTCCTAATCATATACTGCAGTGAAAGAAATCCTTGAGCATCTGTTCGAATGGACACTTTACAAGACAAAGCCAGGGCCTTTGTGGATGGTTTAAGCAAAGAAATCTTGTACCTGCAGGAGAAAATATTACTATTATAGATTATTTCAGTAATATGAAAAAAACACATTGTGCAAAGAGGAGCTGCAACATTAGTCATGAATAAAGTCCTAGAATAATGAAAAACAATAAGGAACACACTTATTTGGTCTTTACCTGGTAACAACATTAAACTGTCATTGTCAGCACTTAGCTTTTGATTGCAGACAAAGCCTTTTATCAGATGGGGAGTATTTTTGCCCCCCATACTAAAAGAAATGTTACAGAAATGCAAAAGCAGTTCTTAAACTTCCCATAAAGAACATATGACCTGACATAGAGAGCATCAGTCACTTTCTAACCTGTTTGTCTGGGTCTGGTTACAGTGGAATGCTTCCATCAAATCAGAGTCCCTAGGGTAGTCTAGATGTGCACTTCCAGCATTTCCAAAAGTGGATAACCTGGAAGACAAAAAACACCATCTCAAAACACCTGATGAGAGCTCTGTAAAAACTCATTAAAATGAGTTACTGTACATATCTCATGACTGTTTTACAAAACTCTGCTGTTTGTTTCACTTTATTCAATCAAAAATGCTAAACTTTCCACACCAGTGTCACATTTACCAGGCTGTCAAAATACTCATTACTATGTTAATTAGAGAACATACTGTGATTTACTATAATCATTATAATTCTTCCTGAAATGAACTGGTATTCTAAAATAGTTCCCCTCTCTCCACTGTGAAAACTTCAACTCCTCACCAAAGGCAGCCAAGTACAAATATTTGAGTTGAAAGCCATTTTTAGTACCTGAAGTAGGGTTTATCTGGAGACATGGTAATCTGCAGAACTTCACTGGTCATATCCAGTTCAGCAAATGCTTCTCGTAGTCCCTCTGACTGCAGGATAATTTTATTAACAACCTTTGTACTGCAGAAATCAAAATCTAACAACTCCTCAGGTTCTTGAGTGTTGATTTTGCACACTGTTACTACTCCTCCTTCTTCCAAGAACAGCATCAGTGGATAGCCATAACCACGATAACACATTCTAAGGGCCGTTGATGTTCCTGAAAAAGAGAATGAAACATACATTCTGCAGAGATCATAGCAAGAACATTTGATCACTTTAGAAAACTCGCATTTTTCTGGCACACAGGCCTCCTAGATACCCTATGAAATGCTAATGGTTATGCAGTAAAATTAAATTACTTGTGTGTAGACAACACAAATCCAAATAATTTCACCCACCAGCTCTGACAATTAAGACACACTACAATCAGTTTAGAGGAATTGGAAAATCCTCAGGTCCTGTGGCTCTCTGGCTCACATTATCTTTCCTTACTATTCTTGTTCCTTGTGCAACCTAAACTGAAGTTAATGCAGCTGAGCTTGTGCTGCGGTCACAGCCTCCTGCTGCAGGTTATCACCACCTGAACCTCTGGTTTCCCAAAATCACAGTGCTCTTTAGTACATTCGATTTAGATCTTTAGGTCACCCACAACCAAAACTGTAAAGGAGTGAGGAGTACAACACAGAGCTGCAAGAGCACAACTGCCCAAAAAGCTGCCATGGTATGACTCCATGCCACGTGAATATACATCCTGCAGTGCCAGCACAACCTTCTGTGTATTCATGGAAATATACCACACCTGGCAAGGAGCTGGATCCAAAAATGGTGAGGCAGTCCAGAAGAACAGACAAACTGATCCGGAACATCACCGATTCCTCCTGAACGGAAAATTCCTGAAAAATTTCTGCCTGTAAATTAAAGCAAAGATATGAAAAGTTGGGAGTTTCTGCAATTATTTTACAGCTTAAACTTCAGGGTTTCCCATCCAGAAATCAGTGCAACACAAAGTGTTTTCTACATGCAACACAGCATTGATTATAGAAAAATGGGTCTTCATCCTCGAAACTAGGAAAACACAATCAAACTACACTTGAAACAAGGTACGATGGCATAAACATGCAGCCTAAATACTTGTTTATTATGGTTTAAGTACAGCCTACAAATGGTAAAACCTAGAGCTGCTTACTTCTGGAGCTAGAAATATTCATGGAACTGTACAATGTGTCACATTTCTACAGTGACAATACTCATATTTTTTATGTTCAGAGCATGAATAAACATTCCAAATACTAGTACTTAAGAACAGAACAGTGACTTCACCACTCTGAAATATGTGCTGAATCCTGCCTTTGACTAGCCTGATGGGGATAAACTGCTTTATGCTATGCTGTCTGTCACTGGTTCTCACTGCTTTGTGGCACCTACAAGAACAGAGTATCTCAGAAATAAAGCAGGGTGGCATGAGCTGCTTTTGGAAAAGTAATTTCATATTCTCCTGGCTGCCCAGAGGGAAAACTGCATCCTTAGATGCTTTGAGCACAGCACAACCATCTTCAATCAAGTGTCTGTGAATCTGTACTCTCACAGTTGACAAAAATCCAATCTTCTAGCTTTGGGATGAGCTACAAAAACACTTAAAGAGAGGTACGATGAGCACTTGCTTGTGCAACTAAGAACAGCACAGCCAGAAGGAGCATGAGTTTGGCAGGCACGAATATATTAGACGAGGGTGCAAACTCACTACACTGTTATGTGTTCAGGGATGTACTGGTGCAGGGTTTGGAATTCCAGCAGCATGGACACCCACCAACAGGGGCAGACTCACCACGGTCCTTCCTACATGCCAAGCACCTCTGCCTTGGTTCCAGCAAAGTCTCCCCTTTCCCACAGGTGAGCATATGGAATTGTTACGGTTAAGGGACCTTTGAAGATTATCCAGTCCAAGCCCTCTGCCAAGGCAGGGTCACCTGGAGGAGGTGACACGGCACACATCCAGGCAGGGTTTGAATATTTCCAGAGAGGGAAACTCCAATACCTCCACTGGAACAGAATACTGGCACGCTGTTCCAGTGCTCTACCACCCTAACTGTAAAGAAGTTCTTCCTCGTGTTGAGGTGAAACTTGGTGGTGGTTTATTTTATGCCCATTGCTCTCCTTCCTGCCACTGGTCACCACAAAAAGGAGTCTGGCAGCATCGTCTTGGCACCGATCTTTGAGATATCTATATGCATTGGCGAGACTCTGAGTCCGCTCTTCTCCAGACTAAACAGACCCAGCTCTTGCAAGCTCTCCTCACAACAGAGATGCTCCAGTCCTTTAATCACCTTTGCAGCCTCCGCCGGACCCTATCCAGTGACTCCTTGTCCTCCCGGTCCGGGGCCTGTGCACGGCCTGCGGCAGCCGTGCCCTCCCCGTCGCCGGTGTCCCCGTACCTGGATGAAGGCGTTGGCCTGGATACACTTGGCATCCTCCACGGTCACGCGCAGCCCGCTGGCCGTGGCGAGGCAGGTGGCGTAGTCCTGGAAGTGCACGGCCCGCAGGAGGCTGGACAGGTGCCGGGCATTGTCCAGGCTGGCGGACAGCGCGTAGCGCTCGCCGCTGGCGGGCAGCTGTGCCGAGAACGGCATGGCCGGGCCCGGGAACGCGGCAGGCGGGAGCACAGGAAGCAGAGAGCCGGCACAGGGAAGGCGGGCACACGGACGTGAGCGCAGGAAGTGAGATCACAGCCTTGCCGGCGCAGGAACTTCGAGCGCAGGAAACGTGACGCGGGAAGCGGAGTGGGCGGATACCGGCGAGATATGGCGTGGGGACAGATGGCGGCCAAGAGAAAGCGTGGAGCGCTGGCCGGGGGGAAGGCGAAGCGCGCCAGGAGCGCCCCGAGCGCGGGCGAGGCGGCGGCGGGGAGCGGCCCTGAGGAGCGCAGCGCCCCGCCGCAGGAATACCGCATCCCGCCGCCCGTGTCCCAGGTACCGCCGCTCGGCCCGGGCTCGGGTTGCCTGAGGGAACGCGGCTAAGTCGTGACAGAGAGGTTTATTCGTAATCTCTTATAATGCTAGCACAGCTAAAACTAAACGTGGTGGCGCGTTTTTTCTGTGAGAATACGCGAGAAGCGCTATCCTGGTCCATGTCGGTGAGATGTGTTACCTCAGTCTCAAAAGTATTTGAAAAAGTTGGGCAATTCTGTTGTATACTGAGGCTGTATGGAAACTGTACTTGTTGCATTTAGGAATCATACGGATAAGGTTTCCGTAATTGTTTGCTGGTAGGAAAAACGTGGAATACTGCGTATAAACACAAAGATTTCACAATACGCTTGTCGACGTGAGAAGGTGGGCTGTACTCAGGGGCTGTCCCTGAGCCCATTTTGCAGGAAAATAAGTGATGCACGTGTGGCTTTTTAGTAGCTGGATGGGAGTGAAAGGCTGTGCCTGGGAGCACGCCGTGGATCAGGATGAGGACAGTTCCTCCTGTAAAAGCAGTGCCCCCCTGTGCTGTAGGAAAGTTCACTTCACTCTTGAGGAGAGTGTGGTTCCTGTTTGCGTGGGCAGATCAAAACGAAGGTTCTTGCTGTGTCTTTCTGTATTTACTGTCCAAACTTTGTTTTGCTGTGTTATAACATTATTTAAGGCTGGAAGCTTCCACGTGACTATTGTGTCTTTTTTTCCTAGGGCAAATGGAAGAACAAGGAACGAGTGCTGATATTCTCCTCTCGTGGGATTAATTTCAGAACAAGACACCTAATGCAGGACTTAAGGACATTGATGCCTCACTCTAAAGCAGGTGGGGTTTGAACATCATTCCTAAGTTATATTTTGAGAATACTTTTAAGCCAAAAGCTCTAAACAAGCTGTTCTTTTATTTTTTTAAATGAGGTTCAGAAGAGTTTTGGTGAAACTTGTATCTTAAACAAACACCCTTTGAGCCAACAAGTACAGCAATTGTTGTACCGTAGTATTTTCTGAGAAGTGAATCCTATGGTATCCGTCCTGAACCTGCACAGTTAGTTTTGTGTCTGTGTTTATTTATTCTATAACATGACAGAAACAACTTGGTAATTACCCTTTCATTTATAAATTAGTACAATTTTTGTAAAACATCTGACTGTTCAAAGAATCTCTTGTATTAAGTTGGTTTTTCAGCCTTGTAAATGTTGTTTTTGTTTCCAGATACTAAAATGGACCGTAAAGACCAGTTATTTGTAATCAATGAGGTAATTCAGTGTTTGTCTTGGTGCTTCTTTATTTTATTTTATTTTCTATGGAAATTCAGTATGCAATGGAAAGGGGCAACCAAGTTCAAAGTGTAACTTTATATATGAAAATTATTGATACCCAAAAAGCCAAAAGTTGACTTTTGATTAATAAAACACAAATTAAACTTTTAATTAGATACAGATTTTATTCATGAAGAAATATAGCATAATGTGCTTTTTCGTGTAGGTGAGAAGTGTAATACAGCTTATACTTGAACAGTGCAGGACACAAATATGCTGCCAGCCCAAATATAGTAGGATATTGATAGTTCTGAAGCTAGAACCTAATGCTCTTGTGTTTGTATCCTGGATAGGATTATCAGGTTGTTTGTAGCTTTAAGGAGTTTATTACTCCTTGTAGTAAGTATGCAAAATTTAAAAAAAAAAAAAGCCAGACCAAAATTTAGGTGTCAGTAGATGTCATTTAATAAGACAAGATATATGCTTTTGTACTGCCATTTTGGAGAGGGAAAAATATTAGAGATGAATGTGAAAAGTTATTAAAAATGTCTTCAGGATTTTTTTAAGCAATAATTTGATGTGTCTTGTGTAGGTGTGTGAAATGAAAAACTGCAATAAGTGCATCTTTTTTGAAGCTAAAAAGAAACAGGATCTCTACATGTGGTAAGGAAATGTTGCTTTGTTACATTTCTATTTATGGCTGCTTCAGTTCTAGCTGAAGTTTCCTACTCTAACAGTGAAGATGCATGAAATACGGCTGCTTAGTTAAATTTGTTCTAATATTGCACTTCTGTGGATAGTGCAGATGTACAGTGCATGAACAGCTTTTGGACATTGTTTGCAGAAGCATTTCACAAAATTATTTAGAAAACAAGTGTTTATGAGCATACACACACATTTCAGGACAGCTATAAAAGTAAGAGAAACAACTTGAATGCAGGAATAACTGGTTGGGGTGTAGTGTGGAAATCTAGCATGTATTCTGGCTGCTGTTAACATTTTTCTTTCTCTCTTACCCACCACTTGTCCTCTGAAGGCTTTCAAACACACCACAGGGACCATCTGCTAAATTCTTGGTGCAGAATGGTAAGCTGGTGGACATTATTGTGTTTGCTGTTCTGTCCAAAACATTTTCTGTCTGCAAAAAAATAAAAGCTTTTTTTTTTTTAAATCACTGTAGTTCATACACTGGCTGAATTGAAGATGACAGGAAATTGCCTAAGGGGCTCAAGACCCCTTTTGTCTTTTGATCCAGTAAGTATAGGTTTTATTTAATTTGGATATGTTCTTACTCTTTTTGCATGACTATTGCATTTAGCCTTGTATGTAAAATAACATTTTTATTTTTGTAGATTTTCGACCGAGAGCCACACTATGCTCTGTTAAAAGAATTGTTTATTCAGGTCAGTCTAGTTTTAGTGTTTCTTCACTGGAAATGTTTTTTGGAAACATACTTAAGGATCGCAAGTAGTTTTTTTTCAAGTAGCAGTTTTATACTTCTGAACTTTGAAAAGATCACAAAGGATTGGGATCATATTCTTAGCATGACTCAGACACTTATTCATAAGTTTTGGGTTATGAAGTGTAACCTTGGTTTGGGAACTTAGTAAATTAAAAGGAGTTTAAAATGAGCTATGTTTGACCTCTTAAATTGCAGATGTTCAGAAACACTGCCTTTTATTACAGATATTTGGTACACCACAGTACCACCCCAAAAGCCAGCCTTTTGTTGACCATGTTTTCACCTTCACTGTCACTGATGAAAGGATCTGGTTTCGCAATTACCAGGTGAGTGGTCTCTCCTAGCTCTTCAAAAGGAGGTCAGCGGGGTAACTTCATATCACATCCATTAAATAAAATAAGAATAATTTTTAGCAGGATATGCCAGCCCCTAGTGCTTGAAGATTCAGTGTCCTGAAATGGCTTCTCCCATATGTCTGGAGAGATCTGGTTCATTGAACATTCACCAATATTCATTGAGTTGTGATTCTGTGAGGGATGTCTTGGTAGCAGGACATACTACCCAAGGCCTAAACTGTGCTTTAAGCAAAATTGCTGCTTTGACTCAAAGTGATCTAGAGCTTACTTTCTGTAGAAGGAATTCACAAATACAGAATACTGCAAAAGCTTGCTTGAATTTCAAAGAACTGCTTTATGTACAGGACTGGGTTTATACAAATCTAGCTAATTATCTTGAATTTAAATTCAGTTGTGTATTACCTTATGCAAGGTGCCTGCGAGGTCTTATGCTTTGATTCAATCTGTGAGAAATGGAGAAAGTTCTCTTTTTATTACAGATAATAGAAGAAGATGCATCTCTAGTAGAAATTGGGCCTCGTTTTGTCCTGAACCTTATAAAAATCTTCCAAGGTAGCTTTGGAGGACCAACTCTATATGAAAATCCTCATTACCAGTCCCCAAATATGGTAAGCTGCTCTGTTTTTGTTTTCTCTTTCATTTAGCAACTAATTTGAAAATCAGCCTTGTAGTCAGTCTGTGCAGGAGCATCAAGTATGCCTTTCCCCATGACCCTTTGTAGTGCCCTAAACTGGTGACAGTTTGAGAGCAGAGTAGTTTTGTAATCATGAAGTGAATGCAGACATCATGTCACTGAAAAGATGACATTACATTGAGGGTCTTGGCCATTAAGCAGAGAAATTAACATTAAAGAAATCAGTTTCTTCAATACCAGATTTCTTCCATTGTGCTTATTTGAAACATGATGAAATTTAAATTCTTATTTTTATAGCATCGCCGGCTGGTGAGATTGTCAGTGGCAGCTAAGTTTAGAGAGAAGCAGCAAGTGAAAGAAGTGCAAAAGATTAAGAAAAAAGGGACTAAGGTCCTTGTTGAAGAAGATCCTACCGAAGTAGTCTTTGAAACTCCAGCTGAAGAGAAGCCAGTGGAAATACAGCTTGTGAAACCAGAATCAAAGCCAATTGTTAAAGATAAGAAGAAGCTTCGCAAAATTCAGAGGAAGAAGCAAAAAAAGCTGTTCAGAACTGAAGGATCTGCGTAGATATTATAAGGAATGAAATTTCATACAATATTAACCAAATATTGTAAATATTTGAATTCACATTGTACAGACAAACATGTCTGAACTTCAGTTTTAAGTGAGCAAAACACACATTTCTTTATAAAGATTTGAGTTTGCATTCTTTTATTGTCTTCTGGGATTCTGAGTTTTGAGAAAAAACATGGCATCCCATTCAACCTGGCCTTAAACGCTTCCAGGGATGGGTCATCTGGACAACTTCTCTGCAGCAATTTATTACGTTCACAGTTCCTGACCTCATGACCTGGTTCTTCCTCTTTCCTGTTCTACACTCCCCCAGACTTTCTTGTGTTTCAAAGTCTTGCTTGTGCCCTGTTTCTGTTTGACTTTCTGTTCAAAGTCTTGCTCGTGCCTCTGTTTCAATTTCCAGCATCTTAAAGCTGAAAATACACAACTGATTTGAGAGGAAGCTGACCTGTTAAGTTCTAAGTATCATCCCACCTAGCA